TTTGGATATTCGGAGTGTAAGAGTTTATCCTCCCGTTCTTGGAGAGCTGACCCATATGGGTGTCGGGGAATTGGTTTACCCTCTCGCGTTGGAGAGCAATTAGTTTACCCTCTCTCACTAGAGAGCATGGTTGGTCCCTCGGGGGGCGCAATTCCTGCTGTAAGTCCCTAAGAAGGGAGCGGTCTTCTTTTGAAGTGCAGAAGTGATCAGTTGTTGTAAGCATGCAGCCAAGCCAAGTCGTGATTACTTCTGAATTCCTCATTGAAAAACGAGTTAAACGAACGAGAACTTAGATGTAAGGTAATAACTGCATAACAACTGGATAATCCTCGGCTGGTGAGGTAGTGCCTGTCGAGCTGCTTGAGTCTTCTGGCAGTGATGAAGGTTTTTCTTATGACCAGATCTCCAGGCTGGAACTGCCGGATCTTGGCCCTTTTGTTGTAGCTGGAGAGGAGCTGATGTTGGTAGGCTGCGATGCGAGTGATAGTCTGTTCGCGCCTCTCTTCTTCCAGATCTAAGCTTATGGCCATCTCTTTTCGGTTGCTCATCTTTTGGTTGTGTGATATGCCCATAAACATCCTTGAAGTTCGTCTGGCCATTTTCTTTTCTTATTGGTGAAGTAGTCGGTTGCCACGATCATCATGCCTTTGCCCCTAGTAGTCTGGCTGGTGATTAGCTAGGACTCAGAATGAATTGAAAGCTTTTTCACCACCAAGTCTTTTGTCATTCGAAGGCTTGCTAGTGGGGCTTCGTACTCTGCTTTGTTATTAGATGCTTTGAAGCTTAGAGTGATTGCCTGCTTGAGCATTGAAACGTTTGGGGTGGCAAGAACCACGGCTGCTCATGAACCTTCGTAGTTGGATGCGCCGTCGACATGCAAACGCCAGAAATCTCCACTGAGGGAGCAAGTGTGGCTAAAGTGTGCTCGGCTACCTTCGGGGCGTCGTTGGGCCGAGTTGTTTCGTTCGTCAGAAAACTTGCATCTGCCAGGGTCTACGCCTTTATCGTTGCTGGTTTGGATTCGGCGGAATAGTGCGTCATGATGATGACTGCTTGCGTTTGAAGGTAAAACTTGTGCTTCCGGGTTGCAACAATTATCGCCAAAGTTAGCTTTTGAATTTTTAATAGCATCGAGAAGAGCTTTTGAACTGTCGAATACAGGTAGTCGGGGCCCCATCTCTTCTCGTATGATGGTAGAGCTTATTGCTACTTTAGATACCGTCAAACATGTGAATAAGTCCTCCGCTGCTTCTAGGGAGGTGATGTCGGGTACTTCTTCAAGTCCTTAAATGTGCATTGGTGAGCCTCATCCCAAAGTGCATGCTTCTCTGCCAAAGCAAAAGAGTCTGCCAGAGTTCGATCTTCTTTCATGATCAATTTTTCGAATAGCGGGTGGTCTGCTAGAAGTCCTTTTTGGAAGGCTGCTCTAGTTATCGAGTCGTTGCATCCGACTATTTTTGCCTTATCTACTTTGAATCTCCTCACATAGTCGCAAAACAACTCCTTTGGGTTCTTCTTGATGTCGAACAAATGGTCAGACTTCTTTTTTATCGAGCGATAGGATGAATATTCTTTGGTGAAAACCAAAGAAAGTTCGTAGAAATTCCGGATGGATTGTGGCGGCAGGGTGTAGAACCAATCTTGCGCCTCACCTTGTAGAGTGGTGGCGAATATCTTGCACATGAGATCATCGTTGTTTCGATAAAGGATCATTGAGCTTCGGTAGCGTTTTATGTGTCTCTCCGGGTCTTCATCCCCTTTGAAAGATATGAAATGTGGCATGCTGAACTCGCGTGGAGGTTCCTCCTGCTCGATCTCGTCCATGAAGGGTGACCTGCTTATGTTGGTCATGTTCCGTCGTAGTGCCTCGTCAGTGACCTCATTGCGTTGTAAATCATGCAATCGCTTGGTCAAGAGTCTCTCTACTTCTTCCTGAATTTTCCTTTGTTGGGGTAGCTGAGCTCTCGGCTGCCCCCAGCCATGACTTGCTGGTCTAGGCTTCTCTTCCATGTGTTTGGCTCGTCTATGCCGCGGATGCAATGCATGTGGTGCGTTCCTAGCAGGTGAGCGAGTTCTTCGCAGGCTGCTGGTTGAACTTGAGCTGGATTGAGTGACTGCTTCTCTCCGTCCGTCGTGCTGCTTACTCTGATGTGAGGTGGAGGATGCTCCTTGTGGGCTTAACCGCGAATGGATACTTTGCCCGGAAGGTTGCTTATGTTGATTATCAGAGTATGACCCCAACCGTGAATGTATGCTCATCTGTGGGCCTAGTCGAGAGTGCATGCTCCTCCGCGCGCTAAGACGGGAATGTACACTGGCCAAACGTTCGGCTCATGGCTGGTCGAGTGGCTGCTTACCGGGACGCTGCTGGAAAGGTCCGTCTGCCCTTGTCCTATTTCGGGATACCTCATCCAGGGCACGTTGGATCCCGATGCGTTGCAAAAGTTGATTCACCAAGGTTGTCTGTTGTGCAAGGGTGCTCGTCAACTCTATGACTTGTTGAGACAAGTGTTGTTCGCCATTTGGATTTGAAGAGCTTGGAATGAATGCGCCTCCTTGGACAGTGGAAGGGTGGTAGACTCCGGGCGCGAGATTTGAGTTGGGAAATGTCAAATCCGCGAAAAAATGTGGTGAGAATGCCCCCGACTCGATGGTAGGTCAGGATGGTTGAGATAGTCTTGGGCCGACTTGGGTTGCTTGGAAAGCCACGGGAGCAGGCTGGGCCACGAGAGCGGGCTGGGCCGTGAGAGTGGGCTGCTCGACTGGAGTTGGCTGGGCCACGAGAGTGGGCTGCTCGTCGGGAGCAGGCTGGGTCACGAAAGCAGGCTGCTCGGCAGGAGCAGGTTGGGCCGTGAGAGTAAGCTGCTCGACAAGAGCAGGCTGGGCCATGGGAGTGGGATGCTCGACTGAAGCAGGCTGGACCACGGGAGTGGGCTGCTCGTCGAGAGCAGGATTGTCATGAGAGCAGGCTGCTTGGCAGGAGAAGGCTGGGCCGCGATAGCAGGTTGCTTGGAGGGAGCAGGCTGGGCCACGGGAGTGGGCTGCTCAACGGAAACAGGTTGCTTAGTATGTGATGCATGCGAATGCGAGGCTTGGGCCCGGGCCCGTGCAAACTTGGATGGCACGACTTGGGCCGTGGCCTTGGTGCCGTAAGCCTTGGACGGCATGGCTCGAGCTGTGGTGAAGGCACCATGGACCTCGCCATGGGTGGCTGCCGAGGTAGCCACCGTGGTGGTTCCCATGGTGGAAACTCGTGGTGGTGGTGCTGCTCCACTTATTGTCGCATTTAGCCTCACGGATCTCCGCAATCTCATTTCTTGAACATTAGAATTTTCACTTGTGGAATTTTCTAAATTTCTAACCATTATATTTTGCTTATACGTTTTATCAAAGAACCTTTGCAAGTAAAAAATTCTAATAATAAGAACGTATGAAAAATATTCAAATGGACTAGAAAATAAAGAAAAAACCTTTTTGTGCGAGAGTCTTCTACGAGTATGGATTTCAACTCTCAATGAAAGCACCAATTTGTGGATGCAAATTTCCGCCTTCTTCTTCTTGGACAAAATTGCACCTACAAAACAATTAACACCTTAGGTCAAGGCCAAGAGCCTCACGCGCCCACAATGAATGGGGGGGCTTTGGCCGAAGAACCTTCGATGCCAAAGTTAGAATTTAGAGAGAAAGAGTATTTAGAGAATTTTGGGATTTTTGCCAAAGTGTTGGAATTGATTTTTGGTGAGAATAGGTGCCTATTTATAGGGTTAGGCCTTGCCCAATTTTGAATAAAGGTAACCGGCCACTAAAGGGTTTTTTTGGGGTTCGATTTCATGTTTAATTAGCCAATTTATTGGCTAATTAAATATGAAAAGAATAAATGGATGGTTATAAAAATAAATGACTATTTTAATAAGGAAAATGGGAAAGGTGAGGATGGGAATGGTGGCCGGCTTTGACTATTAATTTGGGTGATTTTATTGACTATTAAGGATGATTTTAGGAGATATGGTAGGTATATATTATTTAGCTAATTGATTAGCTAAATAATGAAATAAATACTAGGTTTTGGGAAATACCTTATAGAAAGGATTTGATGAAAGAGGTTTTTAATTGTTACCTTTTTTGGGCACTTTTGATTTGATTGAAAGATGATTGCCCACTGCTCGCGCGTAGGAATTCCGGTATGCCTCAAGGGTATTTTTGTCCTCTTTTGTCCAAAAAACCACGTGGCGCCTAGTGAATATTTTTGGCTCCACAACTACCACGATCGCAGGGAGAATTATAACGCCAACAAAGATGAATTAAGTTAACAGTAATAGTGGATGTGTTGAATAATTTGCGTGTTCTATAATTTACAAGACAACAACAACAAAAATTTCTCCAATTCTTATGAATATTAGTGGGTAAATTACACAAATTTCCGTAATTACTCTATGAACTTAAATCACTGTCAATTTGTCTCTAAACTATTTTTTTTTTAAATTTTGAAACTTTGAACTTTTTAATTAACCAATTTATCCCTCATTTACAAATTTCTACACATTTCATCTAACAATTTACGTGTTGGTCACATTTTATCAAATTTATCGTATAGTATGTGTCTCAACCAGTCAAGGCGCGATTTTCTATTCCACAATCTCTATACCCTTATTAGAGATTTTTTTTTTCGTCCAAGCGATATTGGATGTGAAATGCCTCTAGAAGTGGCCCAGTGGCTAAGGACAAATTCCACGTCTGTATTCTACGGGATCCATCTTGAGTTCGATTTCTGACGTTGGTAAATCACACAATAGTGGTCAGGAGAGAGGATTGCTGTGACAAGGCCACCATCAGATAAATGACCCTTATTAGAGTAAATACCTACCTATCAATTCAAAGCTAGCCAATGAGTCAGATTTCATAAGATCATAAGAACATCTATAAATTAATCTTTTTATGAAAACACACCATATTCCCTTTCATATTTTTTTTCTTTATTCACGACCTTTCATATAAACAATCTAGTAAGGACGCTCCCCAATCCAGTTTCCAGGAGGATCATAGCTACAAATAACAAAAATCATACCATTCTTACACTTAGCCCTAGCACATCCAACACGAGTTGAATTGCGCCAAACCACTTGGGTATAATGCCCACACACCTTCCCAGCAGTGCATGAGTTAGAGTCGTAATCATAGTCGGGCTTCTCAGTCACCCAAAATTTCACAGCTTGTCCGCCTGTCATTTCTGATCCCCAGCCTTCAGCCAAGTTCTCACCGTAAGGCCCTTGCGAATGCACCATTTCACACGTCTCAATCTTCGAATCAGCGTACTTTTGGGCATAGGCCGCAACGGTTTCGTTCCATTTGATCGGACCAACACCAACCTCTGCCCTAGCTTTGTTGTGCTCGTCTATGAAGTCTTGGTGGGGTTCTTTGGCTGGTCTGGCTTGAGAGACATAGGTAGTACTTAAGATTAGTACTATGGAGCTTATGCGTAGGAAAAGCTTGATAATCCCCATTGTTTCTATCACTTTGTAAGGCTCAGATGTTTTCGAGATTAATTGAGTATGTGAATACAACATGTGGGACATGGAAATTGTGCATATTTATAGCTAGAGAGATCATAGGGCTAAAATTTCTTAATTAAATGGTGTTAAAAAGGCATAACAACATCTCCAGCGGATAGATGTAAATTTGAGAATGTAAATGGGGTGTTCTACTCTATTGGGAGAGAAGTAAATTTGAAATCCAATTTAATTTTCTCTTTTGATTTGCGGGAAACACCAAAAAATGTAATAAAATATGTATACATAGATTTTTATTTATATTTTTTGACCATATGTATATTTTGCATCTCTCCATTGTAGAATTTTAAGGCCAACCAAAAATACAAATACACATTTAAAAGTATTTTGCATCTTCTAGTGGATATGCCCTAATAAATGGTAAGGAACAGAATCTCAACATTCAATGCTGTTTATGATATTCCTTAGATTTGGTCAAAAATAATGAAACGAAAGCAATTTCATGCCTAATATTAGGGGATTTTTGGGTTCAATTTGAATCCGGTGTCTCATTATTTTCTTTTTGTCATTGAGAATCAAATTTTTTTCTTTTAAGTAATTTAATACAGTAAAATGATAACTAAAAAGAATGAGGTGAGTAAAAGGGATAAATGGGAATAGGGCCACTTTTCTGAAAGAAAAAAAAAATATGCTAGTTGCCTTTCTGTCGTCTTTTTCTTTGTACCTTCCCCGCTCACTGTTTGTCACTTGGACTTTACCTTCCACACTAAAAAATTGCCAAAGGTCCCTAAACCCTAGTTAATTAGTTGGCCTTAGTTCTAATTAATAACATGAGATGGATCGTAGACCTTATAATATATAGATCGTTTAATTAGCCTATATACATATATCTTTTATTGTAATACTCTTAGACATGTTTCCCAAGAGGCTAATGCATGGTTTGAAGATGTGATGATATATATATACATATACATATACATATATAATATATGTGTGCGTGTGTGCGTGTGTGTGTATTGTGATGAGTCGATATTATACTATATATTTTACCCTAATCTTAGTTATAGTTTATTAGTTATAGTTTATTAGTTATTTTGGTAGAATTTTGATACTTTGTTATATATTTTCAATGTAGGACATTCGACTTCCTCTGGAGCAAAAAGTAACCAAACAGATGAATTTTGGAGTGATTCCAACTGAAAGATGTTCGTGAGTCTTTCAAGATGATCGTGTCAAAATTTCATATTTTCTACTTAGCCGTTTGACCGTGGCAAATAAATGAATGCCCAGTGTGCAGCTTTCCCATATTGACGTTTCTAGACGTTTTGGGTATTTTGAAGGTCAAGATGGCATATTTGTAGGGACGTCTTCAGCTTTCAAAAGAGACATTTTGGGACCAAATCAGAGTAGGAGTTGATTTGGTAGGTCAAAAGACTAATTTTCTGAGAACTCCGAATTTTAGTTCAAATAGGAAACTTTTTATTTTATGTTTTATTATTTTATTATGTTTCCTAGTATTATTCTAAGACCTTTTCTAGTAAGGATTTTATTTTGTAGTAGTATAAATAAGGCTTTTTAGCCATAAGGGAGAGGAGGGGGAGAACGCACGCATTTTGGCTTTAGAGAGCTTTTGAAGATTCAAGTTTATTTTCAAGATGTTTTCTATCCATGTTTTTAATAATATTTTCTTTTAAGGTTGTTAGTAACTAGTTTCGTTTGCTAGGGCGAGGCCACGAGCCTTAGCAAGAATATGTAGATTCTTTTCAATTTGCTTATGATATTATGCATGCAAGTTTTGAATTATTAATCACCGTGTTAAAACTATCTAATTGTCTTGATGATTGGCCACCATTAGGATATTTAGAAAAGTAATTTGATGCAATTTTGGCGGAGGGTTGTCCCTGGAATTGGCGCTGACTTCTTGTGGTTAATATGTGTAACTTCTTAGAGAGTCGTCACATCATTCCAACCTGAATTGCATTTGTGCATACAGTGGGATATCTCCGCGACAACCAAGTTGTTATCGAAAATCAGCTGACCGGGGACAAAGGCACATTGAGTGGGTGATATAATCTGGGAAAGAATGAATTTCAATCTATTTGTCAAAACTTTTGCAACGATTTTGTACAAAACATTGCAGAGGCTTATAGGACGTAACTCAGACGTCTCTGTAGGGTCCTTCACTTTAAGGATAAGAGTAATGTGGGTGAAATTAATCTTACGCAAAATACATCCAGAATGTAGCATAGATCGAATACCATTGCATACATCTGAACCCACCACATCCCAGTGATTCTGATAGAACCTCGGGGACATGCCATCTGGCCCCGGGGCCTTGGTTGAGTGCATTTGAAAGACCGCCGATTTTATCTCCTCATCATATACCGAACGTATTAAATCCTCATTCATCTCCTCGGAAACCACTGGTAGTATATTAGTCAGGACCTCTTCCATGCCATCCCCTCCCTAAGACTCAAACAACTTTGAAGAATAATCCACCACTACTCTCTCCATCCCACTTTTGGACTATTGTCGCACTCCATGTTCATCATTGAGACCGAATAACCAATTCCTCCGCTGCCTACGGTTAGCACGTTGGTGAAAATACTTCGTGTTTCTATCACCAAGTTTTAACCAATTAGCCCTTGCACATTGACACCAAAACGATTCCTCTTGTTCCAGGAGCATGTTAAGCTTGGACATGAGAGCTTTTTTCTGCCCAATTATCTCATCCGTAAACGGTAAGCCCAAAAAGCTCGTTAATTTATCTTCAATTTCCTTAATTTCTTGAAGACCATGATGCACATTTTGTTTTGCCCATTTCGAAAGCAACATTCTCGTCGCTTTTATCTTCTCAGTAACTTGGAATAATGGTAACCCCGAAACCTCAATAGCCCACCCTTGAGCCACTACATCTCGACACCCTTCCACGTTATTCCATCTGTCCTCATAACGAAACTACTTCTTCCAACTATGCTTGTGTTTACAGTCCCAACTTATTAAAATAGGAACATGGTCAAAGGTAGATTTGTTCAGATGCGAGACCATATGATTTCTGAATAAATCCATCCATGATTGAGTTGCTAGGGCTCTATCCAATCGGACCTTGATTCCACCATCCTTTGTTGTGAACCATGTAAATTTATTGCCACTGAAACCTAGATCCCGAAACTAACACCGAGTAACCACCTCTCGAAACCCATCCATTTGTCTCTCACTGCACACATTACCTCCTTCCTGCTCAGTTGCTAAGAGGATTTCATTAAAGTCTCCCAAGCAAAGCCAAGGGCCATCTGACACCCCACATAACCGATCAAGAAGCTACCACGACTTATAGCGATCTTGAACCCCTGGAAAACCATAAAAACACGTCAAACGCCAATAACCATTCTCACTAATGCCGCCCACATCTAGGTCAATGTGATTATTAGAGTATGAACGAAGTCCTAGATTAGCCTCTTCCTTCCAAAAGACACACAAACCTCCGGACGTGCCCCAACTAGCAACTGAAAAACTTTTAACAAATTGAAACTTAGCTCTTAGCCTTTCCATACAAACTACACTACTCTTAGTTTCGCAAAGAAAAACAATCTTGGGATCTTTATTAAAAATTAGACACTGAAGCACCTGAACTGCACGGGAGTTCCCCAAGTCCCCTGCAGTTCCAACTCAAGCAACTCATTGATGACGACAGGACTGATCCTCATCCATTGCCGTCGATAACATAGATGAAACTTCATTGGGAACCATTCTACGTCGAGATAATGGTCCCTCACTAACATTCTCGTCTTCACGGATACATCTCTTGCCCAAAAGGGTATCAGCACTACCGTTTGGAGACGTCTCTCTACTCACACCAACCCTCGTATTTTCACTTCGTCTCTTGCATGCACGACGCTGCTTCTTTTTTCGCCTTGAATTTTGTTCAATAATAGGCAACAAACTAAATGGATCCGAGCCTAAGGGACTAGCTTCCATAATTCTGTTAGGCACCAAAATACTCGGCCCACTTGCTTGTTGGTTTGTAGGATTTTGGCCAAAGTTCAGCTGGGAAGCATTGGTTGGTCCCCCCAAGGAAATCTCCCCATTAACTAAATAATTATAGGCACTAACATCCCCACTAATATGCTGAGAGTGACGGACGTTTATCCCAAAATTGGTGGAGTCGTTGACCATTGGGACGCCAAATAAATGAGGCACATGTGAGGGTGTTGACCCCTACCCATCTAAACCACATCCTCACTTCTGCGCACACAAATCTGAAGTCTTCATTCTGGGTGAATCAATACCTAGATTAAAGTAATTGGAGGGCTCAGTCAATCCTTTTAAATCCCGCTCGGAATCCTCAGTGTCAACTATCTCATTCAAATCGGGCAAATTGAATCTTTCATTATTTCTTGCCATACTAGCTTCACCATCGATTCCACCGTCATCCATCACAGACCTCTATCCTTCGTCATTCTCTGTCTCCGACGTAGACAATATGATTGGTACCTTCGGTGATTCATTGCCTTCCGCAAGCAGGGGAGCATTCATTGGCCACCGCTGAGGAGAATCTAACCCAAATCGTTTACCTTTTGGCTTTCGATAATATGCACTTAACACATCCTCTTGAAACCAACAACCATAGGGTTTTGCCAAATCGTCATCATTCTTCCCTTTAAACCTAGCACATTGATCCTCCGTGTGATCCACCATGCCACAGAGGAAGCAAGTACATGGTAGTTTCTCGTAACGCACCCCTACTTCCAACACCTGATCTTCTATCATCAACCTTAAGCTATGACGTAATGGCTTGGAGATGTCAATTGCAATACGAACCTGCAAGATACTCCCAGTCACCTCTCCTCTCCTACTCTATTCAGTCACCACGTAGGTCCCCAAACTATTCCCTATTAGTTGACCCATTTGCCGAGACATATACTGGAAGGGCAAACCCTTAATCTGCACCCAAAACTCTTGGTAGCTTAACGGAATCATTGAGGGATGAGTAAGATCATCGGCTTCAACCAGCACCAAAAGGGCTCTATCGAATAACCATGGCCCTCCCCGTAGCACCGTTGTTCTATCTCGTACATTGTTGAACCCAAAGGAGAGTAGATCTTGCTCCAATTCTACAATCGTAACCATCACCTTCAGTCTCTACAGAAATTGCATCTATTTTTTACATCTCTCTTTGTTATAGTATTTCTGCATTGGAACTCTTCCAACTAAGAACACTTTGGAAGAACATAACAACAGACCAACAATAGTCAATTTCTGCAATCAAATCAGAAACCTGGAACCCTCGCCGCCTTTGGCCACCTATAGAAAACTCTCTCCTAGAGCAAGCCCTAGAGAAAAAAAAATTAATATCCCTAATTGATTTAAATAGGAATTACTTACTTGAATAGAGTCAATCTTCAATTGGGAATGTATTAAAAATAGGATTTGGGTAATTAATCCTTATCTTTAATGCTTTGACTTTTACTTATCATGGGTAGGTGAGCTGTGGGCATTCATATTCAGCTGCTGGACCTTCAAGGTGTTGAGCTGCGCGTGGGAATATATGAGAAATCTGCCCATTTAATGAGGCAAATCTTGTTTTTTTCAAGTAAAAGTTCATGTGTCGTCTCTAGACTTTCTGGAATTCTTTTAGGCTCCACAAAGAGTTGTTTATTTTCTGAACAATATAATGGCCATTAGATTGAATTACATACATGATCAAAGGCCATTATTTAACTACCAAAAAGTACCAATTTGGGATACATCTTTCTGCATAAGTTCTAATCGGTGGCAGCCAAATAAACCAAGTGATGGCTGCCAATTATTCAAACGGTGCTGCAACTTGAATTTCAAATTCAACGGTTACCAACGTAACCATCTCACCATTCCAGTTTCGTTCCTCCCCAATTTTAATCATGTTTCGAAAAACATTCCTACAAGAAAAACTTTAATAGTGCATAACTTGCCACTAAACCATGATAAGTAGCACTAACACTTAAAACTTATCATATGCTAGGCTTCAAGTATAATTTTCTGCCATAAATTTATATTCAAAGTTCTTATAGTTAATATACACCATTAGATTCATTTAGCGGCCTATGTTTTTCCTCTTTTTCTCCGACTCCTTTTCCTCTATGATTTCACCTATTACTCCCAAGTGTTGGTCGGGACCATTTGTAGGTGAAGTAGACAGGATCAAGAGCAGGTAGTGACAGTAGCACGGAAGGAATGAGAAAGGAGTATGGGAGAAGCAGAAGTGTAGGATTTAGGATTACGTTTTCTAGCTAGGTTTTCTTTTCCTTTTCGGTTTTTTAATCCCTTCAATTGAATAAAAATTTCTTAAGCGTTGAATTGATCATGTGGTTGTCCAACACCTTAGCTGCCACATGATATTATTGGTATAAGAATAATTGTGATATGCACCCTAGTGCGGGTTTAATCTCCACCGATTTCGCTCATTCTTTACATTATTTAACAATTTAACCCACTAACGTTAAGATAAAATTGTAATACAAATGATTAGGTGCTTGATTAATTTGAGAACTTTAACGTTGTGGTTTTCCATCCAAAAGGACATGTTGATAAGGCGTGATTATGTGAATTGTCCCGAAAGAATAGAGTGAGATGGCCTCACCCTAGCTATATTTGTGGGAAACGTTCACATGACTGACAAATGTATTAAATTTCCTTTATCACAAAAATTCTTAGGTGTTTTGAAGTACCGGATATTCTGAGTGTTTTAACCGTTAAATCTTTATTTTATTTTTTTAAACAAAAATCTAACAATTATAACACTCAAAGTATCACACTCAGAAGCACCTAAGAAAGTCCCATGGCAATGGCAAAATGGTTGGCACCATCAGAAATGGCATCAAATCATTCAAAAAGTTTCTCCAAAACAAGAAAGTAAAAAAAACTAAAAACTAAAAACTAGCAAAACCATTTTGGAAATGCAAGTTGTCACCTCTGGTGCTGGAAATTCTTACATGTCAGTGATGTTACTATATGTATATCAGACAAGGTTTGTCTGCCCTCCACTTTCGGTGCCTTCTCTGTGCCCTCCTATTTGTGTGGTCACGGTCACGTCAACATTTTATATTACTATTTATTTTTGTCTTATTATATCTATAAAAAAATAATATAAAATGTTGACGTGGTTTAACCGTAACCACACAAAACAGGAGGACACCGAAAATGGAAGGCAGACAATCCTTGTCCATGTATATCCACATGTGCGTATAGAAAGATGATTCTTAAATACGTGATGTACTTACTCTGCCGATTTTGACATCTTTCAATAGAAAGAAAACTAATTTCACGCCCGATGAGATGCCAACATTGTGGTCGATACTCGATAGACTAGTTCAATTAGCCATTTATTTCGAGCACGATGTATTTTGGTTCGAGAAACTACCGGATCTCGTTCGGACGCCTTACTTGTAAATTTTAATATTTTATTAGTAATAAAATGCTACCGTTTTTGCTTAAAAATAGAAATAAATCTAATTTTTATTCGTTAATACTTTAAAGAATGGTTCTCATAGAATATTCAGCTGTACATGACCATCAACAAAAATCAATGCTCAACCAAAAATTCATCAAAAATAATTAATAAATTGGAGGTAGATTATCTGCCCTCCCACTTCTCATACCCTCTTGTTTTGTGTGGTCACGGTTAAACCACGTCAACATTTTATATTATTTTTTTTATAAAGATAATAAGACAAAAAGAAATAGTAATATAAAATGTTAACGTAGTTTAACCGTGATCACACAAACAAGAGGGCACGGAAGTGGGAGGGTAGAGAATCTGCCTCCTAATAAATTAAACACATTTGCCAACCAATAATTGACACTGCACGAACAAAAGAACGAACCAGGATTCTCTCCTGAGCATTTCCCTAGGGATCCTAGGGATCCTGCAATCTTGTCCGTTCATTTTATATCGTGCGGTCAGTTTTCGTTAGGTACTATTCATTTTAATTTTAAATAATTTCTGACTGCACGATACACGATGAACGGACATGATTGCGAGATCCCTAGGGAATGCTCAGGAGAGAATCCTGGTTCCAAAAGAACTACGTACTCCACATGTATAACAAAATCAGCATTCTTGCGCTTTGAGCATTATCTCGGATTATCCCATTCTCTCCATCTCCTCCCCAATTTTTGGTACTAGTTTCCAGTTTCTGTACGAATCATGCAATCTCTCTCTCTCTCTCTCTCTCTCTCTCTCTCTCTCTCTCTCTCTACATACATACATACATACATATATATATATATATATATATCCTTTTTGAGAACTGTTTATTCATTTTTTTTCCAGAAGTTCATTTTTCTGAATGTACATTTTTATTATTTCGTTTGGAAAAAATTATATTATTTTCCTCATCATTACTTCGCATTTGGAGGAGGAATGATCATATTCATATACAGTTGATTTCTACTTAAAAATTTTTCTTCTTCTTTTTAAAAATTTTAGGGAAGACTTGCGGTCTAAAACAGTGCATTAATTTGTCAATTAATTAAGAATATAAACTGTTAGGTAAGTGAGGAACCAGAGGATGTCAACTACAAATTATATCTTAATCTTCTGTGATTATTTCCATGTTCCTTCATGAGATTCCTAGGGCAATTCATACAATTCGCCCTAAATTATGACTGAATGCAAATACCAATATCAACTTCATTTCTATAAATTGTTGCAGCAGATTGTTAAGACCTCACTCCACATTAATTTCAAGACGAAACTTAGTAGCTATGCCTCCTTCTTTGCAAAAGATTTCTCAATCTGTCGAAAGGTAATTTACTGGTTCTTAATTATTTGTTATGGCTTAATTAATTTTATGAGATATTATTTTTTTTCTTAATTTCCTTTTTCGTTTTCTCGATGAAAATGTAGTCGCAGTGCGGATGAAAAGTACGCTGATGTGAACTGGGATGAGCTTGGATTTGGAGTAATTCCCACTGAATTCATGTACATCATGAAATGTTCCAATGGAGGTGAATTCTCACAAGGCCATCTCACTCCCTATCGAAACATTGAGCTCAGCCCATCTGCTGGAGTCTTGAATTATGGACAGGTAACAATGGTACATTTTGCATGCTTTGTTGCTAGCTAGGTAGCTTATTCAGCCAAATTCCTTTATTATCGTGGAGAAATGTTATCTTGTTAAACTGTGAATATTGACCATTCGTTAAGTAGATTCTTGCCAACATGCCTCACTCAGATTCACTTTGCGACAACATAATATTATTAGACCATCTCCAAATGAGATGTTAAATCCTAAGTGAAGTGTCACACAATCAAATGTGAAAGTAGGAAGAAATTTCAACCGATATGGATTGACATATAAACCTTTTGATGTCAACTTTGACATATGAAAAAGTTGATGTCAATTAATTTTTTTTAATTATTTTATTGTGTGGGTCTTATAAATCCACCAATTGCAAATCTTGAAAAAGTTCAACATTGCCACCAGCCATTAATTAACATTTGACATTTGTTTTTTTTTGACATCTCCATTGAAAATGCTCTTATGTTATTATGCTATGGAACTTTTGGTGACATAAATATGTACATTGCGGTTTTGTCAGGGTTTATTCGAAGGTCTTAAGGCGTACAGGACAGAAGATGATCGATTTCTGCTCTTTAGGCCTGAAGAGAATGCTTTAAGAATGCAGATGGGAGCAGAGAGAATGTTAATGCCATCACCATCTACTCAACAATTCCTGGATGCTGTGAAGCAAACAGTCCTTGCCAATAAGCGTTGGGTATTCACGTTTTCACTTTAGACCTTACACTCTTGAATTCACAACTCGACTAGTTTACATGTTCAACATAATTACAAAGAAGTATTCCCAATGCTGAAATCTGTTCTTGATCACTCGGATATGTACATGTATAGATACCACCTCTAGGGAAAGGAACGCTGTATGTTAGGCCGTTGCTCATTGGAAGCGGACCTGTTCTTGGCGTGGCACCGGCAGCAGAATACACATTCCTCGTATTTGCTGCTCCAGTCGGTATTTATCACAAGGTGTGAGTTGAGCAAAACTAGCTAGAACTGACTAATTGCATACACAATCATGATAAAGGGTACTCAGTTTTTTGGTTTCTGTGCATTCGATAGGGCCCGGCAGGCCTGAACTTGTATGTCGAGGATCAACTGCATAGAGCTACTCCTGGTGGAACTGGAGGTGTCAAGTCCATCACCAACTATTCGCCGGTAAGCATAACTTCTTTGTTTTCTTGGTCAAAATATAAAAAATTTCGATGTTTCAAGCGCAGCAGCATGTACCAAAGCAAGTCACAGCTTGCAAGTAATATATCATCCACACATAGAACTAAAATAATGAATTTGCTCCCACTAATCTTGAGGTATACGCATTCATGAGCAACATTTTCCTCAAAACCACAAGAGGTGATTACATTGTCAAACTTCAAATAACATTGGCGGGATGTCTGCTTTATTGTCAAAGAAACCTTCTGGTTGTTCATGTATACCTCCACTTCAAGATCTCCATTTAAAAATGTTGTTTTCACATCCATATGATGTACTGTAGATCAAAATGAGCAAATAAAGCCATGACTATTCTCGATGAATCCTTCTTTGAAATCGGAGAGAAGGTCTCATGGTAATCAATGCATTCCTTTTTAAACCCTTAGCTACAAGTCTAACTTTATATCGTTTAATACTACCTGATGCATTTCTTTTAGTCTTATAGACTCATTTATATCCAACAGTTGAATGTTCATTAGGTAGTTAAACGAGCAGTAGATATCCTTTTTTCGTACAAGACTCATTGGACTCATTAGTTTCCTCAGTTTATATATTAGAAGCAAATTCACTCCCACTGAGCTCATGATCCACAACAAATATAGCATTTCTAGCTTCAATAATCCTAAGATGGAGGGAGACTTGAATTTCTGATCATGCTCCTTATCATGTCCATAAGTGTGTGGTTCCGTCTTTCGGCTACACCAGTTTGTTGTGGTGTGCCAGGCATTGTATATTATGCAATAACACCTTCTGCTTCAAGGAACTTAGCAAATTGACCCTGCATTGTCCCCTTTCTGTGTACCTTCCATAAAATAGGGTACAAGTTGATTGTGTTCAAACTGTTTGCTTTTGGGGTTTGTTCTGTAGGCTTACCTAGCACAACAACAAGCAAGGGCCAAAGGGTTTTCTGATGTCCTATTCCTGGATTCCGTGACCGGAAAATACATAGAGGAGCTGACAGCATGTAATATTTTCATTCTGAAGGTAATGTTAATGAATGTTACTGCGCTTTTCCTCCACAATTCCAATTCGAAGGCGTAAAACTGCTGTTGTTGCAGGGTAATGTTCTTGCAACTCCAGCAGTTCATGGAACTATTCTTCCTGGAATCACTCGTAAAAGCATCATCGCCATTGCCCTCGATTTTGGATACCAGGTTATATTATGACTCTTCATTCTTCATCAAGAAAGCCTATCAATAAGCTCTTCATTCGTATAGTTTTTGTATAACAAGATTTAATAGGAGCATGCATGGCTTTCTTGAATCAGGTAGAGGAACGTGTAATTCCGGTGGAGGATTTGCTTGAAGCTGACGAAGCTTTCTGCACAGGAACTGCGGTTGTTGTCACCCCAATTGGTGCTGCAACTTATCAAGGCAAAAGGTAGAGAGATAATTGAACTTCTTTCTCTTTTTTCTCTTGTTTTTTGGTTTTCTGGTTTGATGTCCGGATGCCACGTCGTTGCGTTTGCAGGGTTGAGTACAACACAGGAAAAGGAACACTCTTTCACAAACTGCGTGAAACCCTAACAGGAATCCAAACAGGGCGTCTGGAAGACAAGAAGGGATGGACCATGGAGATCAATTGAGTTTTCTCCTCCGTCTAGAGATCCAGCGTTCCAAATCCGAAAAGTTAATTTGCTCTTCTTTTCATTTATTCAAATTTTTTGCTTGGTTCAACCTTGTTGAATAATTTGATGGTGCAAGCAGAACTAAACTTTGCTCATCCTGCCCCTATTTTAATAAAATTCCGGAAAAGACTAGCTTTGCATCATCTCATCGTAATAATCCGGCAAACGGAGCACGTCCAAAGCGGGCTTAATGGGATGGAATAACTTTCGGGTGGTTAGAAAGACTTCTTAAAACAGAATATATAAGACAAGCAAATATAGAAAATTACCCTTTATTTATAGGAGGAGATTTAAATGGACACGTGGGCAAGGAGACAGACAACTATGGAGGTTTTCATGGTGGCCATGGTTTTGGGGAGAGAAACGAGGATGGGGAAACTATCTTGGATTTTGCAATGGCATATGATCTTTTCTTAGCCAACACCTTCTTTAAGAAGAGAGAAGAACATGTGATCACCTACAAGAATGGGTCGTCAAAAACACAAATAGATTTTCTTCTAATGAGGAAAGGGGATCGTATAACTTGTAAGGATTGCAAAGTTATACCGGGAGAGAGCTTGGCTAATCAACATCGCTTGTTGGTGATTGATGTACATATCAAAAGAGTGAGAAAAAAGAACAAGACTTGGAAGTGCCCAAGGACTAGATGGTGGAATCTAAAAGAAGAAAAACAAGCCATTTTCAAAGAGAAAGTAATCACCCAGTGTGTGTGGGATAGAGAGGGGGAAGCTAGCCAAAGGTGGGATTCTATGGCTAGTTGTATCCGAAAAGTAGCAAAAGAGGTATTAGGAGAGTCCAAGGGCTTTGCTCCACACCAAAAGGAATCTTGGTGGTGGAATGAGGAGGTACAAACAAAGGTGAAGGCTAAGAATGAATGTTGTAAAGCCTTATACAAGGATAGGACCGATGAAAATGGTGAAAGGTATAGAAAAGCGAAGCAAGAGGCGAAGAAAGTTGTGAGAGAAGCTAAGTTAGCGGCTTATGACGATATGTATAAGCGACTAGATACCAAAGAAGGAGAGTTGGATATCTATAAACTAGCTAGAGCAAGGGAAAAGAAGACAAGGGACCTAAACCAAGTGAGGTGCATCAAGGATGAGGATGGAAAGGTTCTTGCTACAGAGAACGCGGTCAAAGACAGATGGAGAGGTTATTTTCATAATCTTTTCAATGAAGGACATGAAAGGAGTGCTTCTTTAGGGGAGTTGAGTAACTCAGAAGAGTGTAGAAACTACTCCTTTTATCGTCGAATCCGGAAGGAAGAAGTGGTTGTAGTTTTGAAGAAGATGAAGCATAGAAAAGCAGTAGGCCCAGACGATATACCGATCGAAGTGTGGAAAGTTTTGGGAGAGACAGGTATAACATGGCTCACTGACCTTTTCAATAGGATTTTGAAAACGAAGAAGATGCCAAATGAGTGGCGAACGAGCACTTTGGTGCCTATCTACAAGAATAAGGGCGACGTACAAAATTGCATGAACTATAGGGGTATTAAGCTAATGGGTCATACAATGAAGCTCTGGGAAAGAGTCATTGAGCATAGATTGAGGCAAGAGACACGGGTTTCGGACAACCAATTCAGGTTCATGCCAGGGCGCTCAACCATGGAGGCAATCTATCTCTTACGAAGATTGATGGAAAGATATAGAGATGGAAAAAAGGATTTACACATGGTCTTTATAGATTTGGAAAAAGCGTATGATAGGGTCCCAAGAGACATTCTTTGGAGGATTTTAGAGAAGAAAGGAGTACGAGTAGTATATATCCAAGCTATAAAAGATATGTATGAATGAGCAAAGACTGCCGTAAGAACTCATGAAGGACAAACCAAAAGCTTTCCCATAACTGTAGGATTACATCAAGGCTCATCCTTAAGTCCTAACCTTTTTGCGTTGGTAATGGATGAGTTAACAGGACATATTCAAGATGATATTCCTTGGTGTATGCTTTTTGCAGACGATATAGTGTTGATAGATGAAACTCAAGAAGGGGTAAATGCAAAGCTTAACCTTTGGAGAGAAGTGTTGGAATCTAAAGGTCTTCGCCTAAGCCGATCAAAGACAGAATATATGGAGTGTAAGTTCAGTGCAAATGGAGGCCAAAACGAGTTAGGGGTGAGGATCGGAGATCAAGAAATACCAAAGAGCGACCGTTTTCGTTACCTAGGATCTATCTTGCAAAAGAACGGAGAATTAGATGGAGATCTCAACCATAGAATACAAGCTGGATAGATGAAGTGGAAGAGTGCATCCGGCGTGTTGTGTGACCGCCGTATGCCACTGAAGCTCAAGGGAAAAATTTTATAGGACGGACAATAAGGCCGGCGATGCTGTATGGACACAGAATGTTGGGCGGTGAAGCATCAACACGTACACAAAATGGGTGTAGCGGAGATGAGGATGCTTCGTTGGATGTGTGGGCACACGAAAAATGATAAGATTAGGAATGAGGATATCCGGGGTAAAGTAGAAGTAGCCGAAATTGAAGAAAAGATGAGAGAAAATCAGTTACGGTGGTTTGGACATGTGCAAAGAAGGCCTACTGACGCTCCGATTAGAAAATGCGACTATGGGACAGAGGTTCAGGGCCGAATGGGTAGAGGAAGACCTAGAAAAACTTTGGAAGAGACTCTAAGAAAAGACTTAGAGTACTTGGATCTAACAGAGGACATGACACAGGACCGAGCACAATGGCGTTCTAAGATTCATATAGCCGACCCCACTCAGTGACTTGGATTTTCCAAGTTTCCAACCGAGAAGTTTTCCTCACTCGGGAAATTAAGGGAACACTACCTCAACCTACATGCTCCACTCCACTCACAAAGCTTCAACATACAAGCTTCAACAAAAGAAAAATTCAAAGAACTTAGCGAAGAAGGCTTTGGTGTATTTAACACAATACGTTGAAATGAAGCAAAGCTTATTTATTGATTATTTATCCCCGATATAAGTTACAAAATATGTACATATACATGAGTCAAAATAAACAAACAAGAGGGAGCCTTCACAAAGGTTGCTTAAGAGAAGTCTCAACAGTCGGTAGAGCCCCAGAAAGAGAAGGCACCGGAGAGGGATCATTCGGAGCCTCAGTACTGGACAGAACCCTAGAAGGATGAGGCATCAGAGGTTGATCATTTGGAGCTTCATTACGCGGTACAGCCCCAGAAGACGAAGACAATAAATGCCTTTGGAACAAACCCACAAACCTCTGATGATCAAGTAAAACCTGACCATCAGATTCCTTCATCTGGTCAAGCTTCCTCTTCATGTTTGTAGCATAGTCATGTGCGAGGTGCAACGAGCCGGTGCAACTGTTTATTCTCATGTTTGAGCCCTCTAATCTCCTGTTTGAGACTCATCACTTCAGCCGCCAATGATTCAACTTGGTGGGTTCGAGCAAATAGGCGTTGGGCCATATTAGACACAGAACCTGCACACTGAACACTGAGAGCCAGAGAATCTTTAACAGCCAACTCATCAGACCGTTTGGAAAGTAGTCTATTATCTTTGGGAGTGAGAAGGTTCCTGGCCACCACCGCAGCGGTCATATCATTCTTCATCACGGAATCCCCAATGGTAAGAGGACCAGTAGGGGAGACGAAGGATGGGCGCCATATGTTGTCTGGAGAAGGCGTGGTTGCCTCTTCAACAAGGTTCAAGTCAAAACGACGGTCGGAGGGGCCAGACATTTTCAAAGGTGTTGAAGAGAGAAAAGGTCGGACAAATCAAGATCTTAGAAGTGCAAGAATGGAGCTTCTACGGGTGGAGATTCAAGTGTGCTTTGGAACTTAATGCCAGCCTCTATAAAAATCTGCACTTGACGGAGCTTCAAAAATCGAAGAGGCGCCTGCTCAAAAATCGAAGAGGCGTTTGCTTTCTCAAAAGCTGGGCTGCTCAAAGACCACGAAGGCCGATCTCAGAAATCGAAGAGGCGTTTGCTTTTTCAAAAGCTGGGCTACTCAGAGACCACGAGGGCCGATATCAGAAATCAAATAGGCACCTACTTTTTCAGCCTTGTCAGCATCTGTCACACGCACACTCAGCTTTGCGAAAATTATGGGCATTCTATCGAAGATTTCTGGTGAAGTAGAAAGCATATGAATCTTACTGTTCAATCACCCACTTTCCACACGCAACATTAGCTCATGGGTACCACAGATAACTTTGCCAAAGTTCTCTGACAAAGTTGAGACACGTGAAACTTGCAGCTCCCACTACATCGCTCTGACCAAGAAGGGTAAAAGAATAGCAAAGAAACAGCACTAACAAAGTTTAGACGCATAAATTTTGAAGGTCTAGCTACCATATTATTACCCACAAGGGTAAATGAACAGTACCACTGCTGGATAATTGGAAAGTCCCTGTGTGTCAACCTCTTTGCTCCGTGGCAAGGTAGACTAGCAAACATGCCCAACCTTTACCCACATTCGAGAAAACACTCCCAACAAGATTGCTTGCTCCAAAATCGAAGAGGCACCGCCCTCCGAATCTCGAGAGCCAGACTCCCAACATGATTACTTTATCAAAAATCGAAGAGACACCGCTCTCCAAATCTCGAGAGCCAGATCCCCAGCAGGATTGCTTTCTCAAAAATCGAAAAGAGGCATCGTTCTCCGAATCTCGAGAGCCAGATCCCCGACAGCATTGCTTCCGAAAAAACCGAAGAGGCACCACTTTCTCAACTTCGAGAGCCAGACCTCCTTGGATAAAGCTTGTCTGTAATTTTCACACGCAAAATCAGCTTTCCAGATACCACAGACCACTTTTTCAAAGTGCTCTGACAGAGTTAAAACATGTGAAGCTGGCAGCTCCCACTACCGTGCTATGACCAAGCAGGGTAAAGTAATAGCATTACTACTTGTTGTTAGGGAGACTCCTATATATGTCAACCTCCATCCCCAACGAACAGGCAGACCTGCAAAAATGCTCAACCCTTCCTCATATCTGAGAGGGCACTCCCAACAAAGCCTTTCGAAATATTCAGCTTTCTTTCCCCCCGATAATACCTCTGCAAACAAGCTATACTAGAGCAAGAATATCTCATATCATCAGGGTTAAAAGCAAGAGTATCTCATATCATGCTTTTTCCCTATCTTTTCCTTTGGCCTTGTTCTTACCTACAAGACAAGGAGAAAGAGAGCAATCAGTCAGCACTTGGAATCAAGCTTCCAGTCAGGAACTGACTGCCTGGAACCCCTTACATGATTACTTACCTGGCATTGCTCTTGAGTACTCATCTTCAACATCTTATGCTTCCAGGGAAGATACCGCATCTGCCTGAGGAACAGATAGGGCAAGTAAGAAGGATACAAGGAAGCATGTGGAGACAAGCGTGACAGCACACGTGCCGATACATCCACTACTTTGTCAAAAGCAAAAGTATCCCATATCAGCAGGGTCGAACGTACTCTAGATTTGATGGACTTGTTTTGACCCTCAAATTCTTCAGTCGGCCTTATACTCTGGAGGAAACCAGAAAACCCTCCAGCCCAGTTCAAGAATCAGCCTGTGGAAAGTTACTTCTTCAAAAGCAAAAGTATGTCATATCATCTCTTCTCATTTTTCTTCTCTTTATCCTTCATGCTGCTGCCTGCAAGATAGGGAGAATGAGAACAATCAGCCGGAACTTGAAATCAAACTTCTGATCTGGGACTGATTGCTTGGAGCTCTGATTGCTTACCTTGTCTGTCGTCTCTTTCAGCAGATCCCCTAGCTCGGCGACTTGGGGGACTCCTACTACATGGTTTGTATCGCGCTTGACCAAGCCTGAAACTACAAGTAAGCTTCAAGTGAAATTGATACATTACCTTGTGCATCTCCACCAGTTAAAGATACCACCCCTGGATGGAGGAAGAGTACTTCCAGAGAAGATGCCACATCTACCTATGAGACAGATAAGGCAAGTGAAGACGATACCACACTTCCGGTACTTAGAAGTTTCGTGATTATTACGAGTTTCTATCATTCTCCCACAATATTTCCTAATGTCATTTGTACTAAATCATTCACTTGTACTCACTAAAGGAGAGCTTGAACCTATGTACTTGTGTAAACCCTTCGCAATTAATGAGAACTCCTATATTCCGTAGACGTAGCCAATCTGGGTGAAGCACGTACATCTTGTGTTTGCTTTCCTGTCTCTATCCATTTATATACTTATCCACACTAATGACCGGAGCAATCTAGCCAAGATCACAAAAAGCGACCGTTTTCGCTACCTAGGATTTATCTTGCAAAAGAACGGAGAATTAGATGGAGATCTCAACCATAGAATACAAGCTGGATGGATGAAGTGGAAGAGTGCATCCGGCGTGTTGTGGGACCGTCGTAGGCCACTGAAGCTCAAGGGAAAATTTTATAGGACGGCAATAAGGCCAGCGATGCTGTATGGCACAGAATGTTGGGCGGTGAAGCATCAACACGTACACAAAATTGGTGTAGCGGAGATGAGGATGCTTCGTGGGATGTGTGGGCACACGAGAAAGGATAAGATTGGGAATGAGGATATCCAAGGTAAAGTAGGAGTAGCCGAAATTGACAGAAAGATGAGAGAAAATCGGTTACGGTGGTTTGGACATGTGCAAAGAATGCCTACTGACGCTCCGGTTCGAATATGTGACTACGGGACAGAGGTTCAGGGCCGAAAGGGTAGAGGAAGACCTAGGAAAACTTTGGAAGAGACCCTAAGAAAAGACTTAGAGTACTTGGATCTAACGGAGGACATGACACAAAACCGAGCGCAATGGCGTTCTAGGATTCATATAGCCGACCCCACTGAGTGGGAAAAGGCTTTGTTGTTGTTGTTATTGTTGTACCCTTTACTCCCACTCTCGCGCTTGGGTGGCAAAGCCATCAAAGCCATGGCCGGAATTTTCCTCGTGTTCTAACCAAAGTTGCCTCCTGTGGATGCAACATTATGTGGTTTTCAAAAAGGTAGCATTGAGAATAAGATGGGATTGTGCTCTCAAAGTTGAAATTTCAGATGAAAAATAAGAGAAAAATCTCAACATGAAAATAATTCATTAATTTCTACTTCTAATGATGTTTAGCTGCTCTATAAATAAGTCATTCCAAGTATCTGTTAATCCTGGCAAGCACCAGTGCATGCAATCGTCGTGCTTCTTTCCACCGGCAGTGGATGGATGGGCATCTGCTCTGAACTCGCTCATGTGGGTTATGTCCAAAATCTGGAAACTTGATCCTTTAAGGGCCTTGTAGAGGTGTTGATTCACCAAGCGTGCCTCCACGTTTGTACTATTATTCTTCACTGAGAAGAGTTCTTCAACCTGGAAAAAACCGTAATGTTATACAAGACTTAATTGAAACAACACAAAGAAAGTAGAAGGGGTTTGTGCTAGGGTACAAATCATAACATTCATTTTGCTCAAAAGTAAATACAGACATAAGATCCATTCGGGTTATTATAGCATCGTGCAACTCACCTGCTCTACCGATAAAGGCTTTAGCCGGTTACAAAAGCCACCTTGGTCCCAGTCACCCCCTTCAAAATGTCTAGGTGATTGAGTACGAAACAATTTGACTGCACCTGGTTTCGTTCTGTTCTCCACAAGCATTACCTACAATGAACGAATCCATCAAAAACATGATCACCAGAATACTCCTCTATATTTCTCATGGAACATAAAATTAAACAAATTATGAAGCTTTTATCTTAAAAAAAAATTGTGTACCATGTGGTTCAAAACCATATCAAGGCCAACATTAGGGAGCACTGGAGGAACCACAGGCTGACCCTTTTCAAAAAAAAGCATGGGCGACTTTGTCGGGTCAAACTTTGAAGGAGCCCACCACCTGTTTATTCATAAGAACCAAAAAATCAAATGAATAGTCAGCAAACTTGATGACTAACTTTTCACATTTAGAATTTTACTGCTTCTGGTATTTAAATGGCTGCTTTTTATAGTCCTCTTGAAGACAGACAAATTAGGGTTGGTTTCTGTTCCTGTTGTGCTTGGTGTTTACTTGGAGAATCAATTAGATCATAGAAATTTTAATTCCTGATCACCTCGTGGTAAAATCAACAGGCTTCACGGAATATTTCAAATTGTTTGATCTCTTCTATCTTAGTAATGTTTTCCTACATCAAAATTCTTCTCACTCGCCATTGATATAAGTAAATTGTATCATGATTATCAATACCAGGCTAAATGATACACATTACTTACTGTAATCACATTATGAAATTAAAAAGAAGTAACTTTAATCACGTAGTAAATGTATCCGCCACATTTACAAAAATCTTGAATAAAAAAGAAAGAAGAAGAATAAAAAGAATTACCAGTGCCCTGTGTTAAAGATCAGAATGTCATGAAAGCTTAGAGCTTCTGCCCATGTCCCATCTGGAATGTCAACATCAACTCTATAGCCCTCCTTATATCCAAGAGATTCCAGCTCCCCACCGTTAGCATCGGCTGACCACCTGCATCAAACAAAAGCATAAATAGCCGAAGTGCACAAATAAACAGACAAACATCAGAGCTTCACATGTGTGAGACGTCATTCAGTTCCCCATCGATTCATCTAATTAAACAAACGCTTAACCATCACATAGTTGCAGACGTAGCTTACCTACCATAATGTGCCAAAAGATTTGTTCGATGGTATGCAAGGGTGAGATTATACTGAAGAAATGTAAACCCGCGATCAGCACCAGCTGGCCGCCACTTCTTTACTTCACTTGACACTCGTTTCAGAGAACAGAAAAGCGAAACAAACATATTGCGGTTCAATGAATCACCAACGAACCCTGCACTGTAGAACATCCATAAGGTTTCCATACATACAACCTAGGATTCAATATATATATATATATATAGCTCTACCACAAAGTCCTTCAAATCATCCTATCTATCGCATTTGATGCGGCGTTTAAACTAAGTACCAAATGCCGGTCTATCAGATATCCAAAAAAAACTAAAACTTTGGGTCCATTAGAATCAAGCAGCTAAGAAAACAGAGGCCTGCATTCAATCAAGTAATGTAAATTTCAAAATTCAGGATTTCAGTTTGTTTATCTCTTGCCCTAGCTTCAAATGCCAGATTTCTCACTCTTTCTCAACAACCAAACAGACAATAACTTCACATGACAACTAAATAACTTGAAACATATATAAATAAGAGAGAGATGGAGAGAGAGAGAGAGAGAGAGAGAGAGTACCAATGCTGGTGTGTCTGTACATCTTCAGAAACCTAACCGGATCGAACGGCGGTAGATCACAACCCTTGGGCTTCCATCTCCACTTGAGTAGTTCCCGACCGTTGGATTTGCCGCTGGAAATGCAATTCCATCCCTTGAATATCTCCTTGCAGGTATTGTCGTACCTCGGAGGGGAATCCGGGTCGTGGATCCATTTTCCGTCGGAGTAGTCACACGACCCGCCCCGACGACTCGGGTCGGATCCGTCAGTCTTTTGGAATTCGAAGCTCGCGTTATGGGGCCGCGGAGGAACGGAGGTGTTTCGAATGGAGGAGAGGACGAGGAAGATGGAGACAAAGCAGACGAGGGAGAGGAGAGGGAAGAGTGGGACTTTCCTCGTCTGGTTTTGCTGTTGAGAGTGTTGCTCTCTGGAGGCCATGCTTTCACTCTCGTGGATGATTTTTGGCGGAGGTTTTTAGCCCCAACTGCAACTTATAAAAGCACTTCTCAAGCAAAAAAGACAACATTATAAAAGCACTTTGTTGTTCGGTTTTTTCTTGGCCGGCTTCTTGCAAAAGCACTTTTGCTTACACTTCGAAGCACTTCTATTAAAATGTTTGTAGTGCTTTAAAAAAAGACACTTAGAAATACTTCTTGTAATGTCGCAAGCAATTTTGAAGGTCTGAAAGCATTTTTAATTATTTTAAAATCATTCTAAATCCTCGTAAAAGAAATGTCAAACAAGCCTTTATTGACGATTTTACATTACTTTTTTTTATGCCAAAAATGGGGTAAAAATAAGACGAATTGGGAGTTATATGAAGTGACAATTTTAAGTTTCAAGGGTAAAGTACAACTAAGTTTTATTTTAGACAGCAAATGAATAACTAGGTTAAAAAGATAAACTGACTCAATTGTTAAAAATAAAAAGACAAATCCGTACGCTAATAAGTTTTAAGGTATTACCATTTATACACCTATTTTTACTTCCCACATACCTTTCTCAATTTTCGACCGTCAAATTGAATGAATTGAAAATCAAAAGAGTATAAATAAAAATTAGTGGGTGAATAGCACTATTCTAAGTTTTATTCACCAAATAACATGGTAGTTTCTCAAAGTGAAATGATTTTCACACCCTTTCTCAACCTCTGCACGATGCTCTTAATTTCTGTTCCTTAATTATCCTTTGATTTATTCAATCCAAATGTGTAGATATATATGCCCTCTTCAAATTTAAGTAGAGTCTGGATGTGGTGAATCTGGACATGAGTTTTTTTGGAAAATCATTGGATGCCATTCATTCATGAAAACATTAAATTGATCACGAAGAGATTAGTTTGTGTTTTATAAATGTGATCTAGAGTACTAACATATCTTTTATTGCAACAACAAGAAGGAGCAGCATTGTTGAGGAAAATAAATACATCATGTCAAAGAATACATAGTGAGGATGAAAGCCAACGCATGTGAACTCACTTCCCCGACACAGATCGATCGGAAGGTCATGTGTCATACCCGAGCGCACAATTTGGCTCTGTACTTCCATTCAATATAAACTTACCCTTCGGGCGCTGAAGACGTTTCGTACTCGGTGTTTTTACCAAGTGGCTGATAGAGCAAAGATGCAATTTTGTGATTCTTAACGGTATGACTTGAGGTGGAAAACTTGGCACGTAGGTGTGTAAGACCTCTTTAGTGAAGCCTGTTCAAACTTCTTTGAGGCTACTTCGTTCTCTTCTAAGCTTGTTTGAACAAAGTACCTTATCCACCATGACGAGCTTCGCAATTTCGCCTTTAAAACAAAATCGTTGCGTCATTCTACTAGATTTAAGTTTTGTATGAAAGGAAGTTAAACTTGCCACAACCATACAGTGATACAACAAAAGCAAGAAAATGAAATTGAGAATCACAAAAGGTGTTGCACCAACAACTGTCATCAATGTGTATGAGAAGTCGCAATATTATTAAACATTAATAACTTACTGGACGGCCAAATTTGGATGGCTCTGCAACTTTAGCTTTATGCTGACTTGGATAACCTATAAAAGGAAATGACACGTATGTAAAAAATCAAAGAGAACAATAACTGTCATGTATAATTTTGCATAATCGATCAAGGGCCGGGCCAACTAAAACATTATGTTTAGATTTTGGTCAGGAAGACAATACTCATGCACCTCTATCAATTAAGTTGAAGTATTAGCTTCTACTAATTGATTGTGAATAGCGATCCAGACAAGCACCATCATTATATCTCATTTGGGGTGTGGTGGGGGTTCAGTGAGAAATTTTTACCCGTAAATATAACAACACCATCAGCAGATACCCTCGCCAACTCTGGAAGAGTTCTGTTGAGGTACTTCGGAGACAAGTAATCTAATGCATCCGATGCAATTACAAGAGAAAACGATTTTGGCCGGTATGGCAAAGGAAACTTTATATCAGCAGCGCGCACAATGCCTTTGCTCACAAGACTCTTGCAACCTGCATCAGCATCTTCTAAGTCATATGGCTCCACACCCCAGGCTTCAGTATCCTCCTCTTTCAGTAATTTAGATACCACTGAACAGGTTTCAGGGCCCACATGCAACACCTTACGCATGCTATCACCATATGCTTTCTTTAGTATAGGTATTGCTCTCTGAACTTCAAACGTACACGAAACACCACCTGCATGTAAATATAGAGATTTTCAGAATGTAAAATAGTTTTTCTATCTGGAAAAATATGCTAACAGTACAACACAAAAATTCAGAGAACTATCTCTCACAGCAAAGACTTTCTAGTACTTACAAAAATAAATAAAAAAGAAAAACAGTAAGAATTTCTCGTGCATAACATTTACATAGTCTGAAACAACTGAGATTGTGAATGCAATTTGTCTGAACGGTTCAAAAGATTAATTCTGTACAGCCTTGTGCCTGTAGGAGCAAAACCTAATACAGGAATCTAAGGAATTATATCTAGAATACCACAGCATTGGATATGCTCGATAATAACACAGTTCAAAGACGTTTTCTGCGAAAGTTTTTTTGAGTGATGGAAGGTAGACAAAAGAATGGATCATGAAATATACCTTCAAGTTTAATTACAGCCTCCTTAGTGCTCCGGCCACCTGTCGTTCAAAACCATAATTATTGAGAACAAAATGGAATGTAAAAAGTACAGGGTTGGTTTCTCTCAGACTGACTTAGTCAATTGAGCTGAGCTTTTTTAGAAGGAAAAGGAAATTGCTTTTTCAATAAACCTTACTTACAAGTAGAAGTCAAAACAACTACTAACCTGACCCGCTAAAAGTGTAGAAGACGAGAAGAATTGCACCCTGAAATTTAAAAGTTAAGTCAGTATTTTAGTAAGAAACTAGACCTGTTTGTGTAATTGGGTTTAGTGACAGTATTACTACTAGGATTCAAAGATGCGTGGACACATTTTAGTCATCTGTTTGTGAATGTTTTTTCTGGATATGCTAGGATTACACCATGGTCTTAAAAACTAAGATGAACTGAAAGAACAATGGTGATAGAAAGTACCACAAGCACAAGTCCTATGGACAGTAGAGGTGAAGAGCGTGCTTTGGATTGCACCGCACCCACAAATGGTATACTTCCACCGTCACCAATGCGTCTAGAAGGATTTACTGGCCTCCTCGACATGACTTTGAAAACTTTAGACTAAAAATCCTGCAAAAGGTAGCAAAATTTGAAACAAAACTTTCATTAGCAGTGTTTCCAAATGCCTTCTGCCGAAACATTTTTCTAACCGTTTTCTACTCATTGATCTCAACTTATTCACATAATCCAACTAAACGGGCACAATAAGATCTACTGGCTTCCATATTATCCACAACCCATTACTCAATTCAGTATTATCAATCAAATAGTTGCATAATTTTAGCAAAATTCCACAGAAACATGCATGTTTCAGCTCAAATACTTGCAAATAACACCAACCCATTAATCCAATCAGCTACGAAATTAGCAAGAACTCAAAAACACAACATAATAATGCAATCTTCAACCCAAATAACAAAAAACAATTCAATTTCGATCGAATAAGCAATGAATTAAGCTACTCTGTGGATGAAATCAGTCGGTTGCATTCAAAGAAACGGATCTAGAATCCGAAAAAGAAAAGCAAAAAGCAATGATGCGAGAAGTAAATGGAGAGAAACCTGGGGAAAATTCAGCCGGAAAATCTGGATTAGGAGATCTAGAGCGCGATTCAGATCTGAGAGCTGGTTTTTTCTCTCTTAAGCTTGCAGGGACCTACACACTGCAAGTCCATCTCCACTAAATAAAAGTAAATTTAATGGACGAAAATAAAAGTAATTTAATAAACACCGACGCTATTTGTGCAAGTGGAATTGCATTTTATTCTCAGTTTGCCTTTAATTTTTGCTATAACAAAGCGATATTTATTTGTACAAATATTAATTAAATAATCTATTTTTTATTTATTGAATTTCAAGGAGGAATGAAAAGGAGTATCACAAAATAAGCATTTCATATTGAAGAGAGGTTTTCAACCAGTGTTTAAAATATTGGTATTGGTGGAAATATTGATAAGCAAATTTGTGGAAATATCGATGGATATTGTGTAAACAATAAGTATGTGATATGTGAAATGAAAAACTTCCTTATAATGACTAGTAATAAAATAAAGCATTTCACTAGAAACAATAATTAATTGAAATTTTCGTCATAAAAGCAGAACAAGTTTTATTGGAGTAAATTGATACCATAAAGAAAGAAATTAAAACATAAAGAATGCATAGGCTCATGGATATTTCCTACAAACTTTTTGCAAATTGACTGCAAACAATGGATGTTTCCTAAAAATATAAAAAAAAATCAAGGAAATTGACTAACTTCCGAAAATATCGTGAATATGAGGTAAAGTTACTTCACCCCCTCTTTCCATATCGTTCCCTAAATTTTTGGATATTTCCATGAAAATATAGAGTATATCCAAAATATTTCAAACACTGTTTCCAACTAGGTTACCTTAGTTGAAGCTAGCGATTTTTTACCAAGCATGCCTTCAGTAATTGAACATGCGTGTGTTTGTAACGTCACAATATGTTATGTATAGTTTTATTACCCAGAGTAATTTTTAAGGAAAACTAATAAAAATGATTTGAAAACTTTGAGTTTTAACGATAAGGACAAAATAAATGGTAAAGTGAATAGTATCGAGAGTTTTTTTGTTAAAGTTTCCTAATTTTTATTGTGCGAATTTTGAATTAGGGAACTTTAACAATTCAATTTTAATTCAAAATTCAAAATTCCTTTTTCATAATAAAAATTCGCACAATACTTTTTAAAATTCCTTTTTAAAAGAAAAAGGAATTTTGAATTGTTCCCTAATTTAAATAATTTTTAGATTAATTTTAATACTTTTTTTTAATTCCTTTTTCTTTTTCATAATTTTTAATCTAATTTCTGTTAAAGTTAAAACCTTTTCTTTTTCTTTTAATTCCTTTTTCTTTTTCATAATTTTTATATTAATTTTAATACTTTTTTTTTCTGAATAA